CAATAACACTGTGTAACAAAATTTGACAAAAAATCCTGGTCTGAAAATGTGATTTCCTATTTAATTGTGCAAAAGTTGTCATTCTCCTCCAGCAACTTATAACAGACACGTGCAAACTTGGGCCCTCCAGGTGTTTTGGACTGCAACTCCCACAATTCCTAACAGCCTACCGGCTGTTAGGAATTGTGGGAGTTGCAGCCCAAAACACCTGGAGGGCCCAAGTTTGCCTATACTTGCTCTATCGTATTAATCTCTTGTGCAAAGGTCTGTGTCTCTCTGCCTTCCTATGGATCTTCCCTGAGGCTGAGCAAGGGAGAAGGTGGGTCTAGATGCCCTCAGGGGTTCCCTCCAGGGAAAAAGAAGCAGAACAAAGGAGGCACACCTGCGCCCCTCTTCTCTCTCTGCCCCCTCCCCAAAAGGCACCAGAAGGTGTTAGGAGGGGAGTTTCGCATGGCCACCTCAGCCCCCCCATAAGAAGAAAGGGAATGGGAAGCAGGAGGAAGCAGAGCAGCATCCCCACCCCCCTTGGCAGTGGCTCAAAGGCAGATCCGCAGCCAGAGACCTAGGCAGACTGAAGCCAGCACCCTCCCGCAAAGCAACGCAATTGCCGGCCTTTGTCGCTCCTCCTCTGCTGCACCTGTCAGGATCGGGACCCTGAGAAAGGGGTCTGGAAGGGGGGTCCCTTGAGCTGCAGACCCCTGGGAGGAAGAAGAGAAGGACCAGGAGGAGAAGGAGGATTAGGATTATTATTTGCATCTCAATGGAGACACACAGCTGCAATTGAGGAAGAGGAGGATTATTCTAATATCATCATCATCATCATCTCAGTGGCAATAGAGGAGGAAGAAGAGGGTGAGAAGGATTATTATTATTTTTTATTATTATTATTCACATCTTAATGGAGGCACAAAGCGGCTCTTGAGGAGGAGGAGGAGGAAGAGGATTATTATCATCTCGATGGAGAATCAAAGCATATATTGAGGAAAGAGAAGAAGTATTGTATTATATTATTGTTGTTGTTGACATTTCAATGGAGACCCAAAGCTGCTCCTGAGGAAGAGGAGGAGGAGGAAGAAGAGACGGATGAGAAGGATTATATTATTATTTCCATCTCAATAGAGACACACAGCGGCTGTTGAGGAGAAGGAAGAAAAGGGCGAGGAGGACTAAAAGGATTATTATTATTATTTTATTATATTATCATCGTCATCTTCAATGGGGACACAAAGCGGCAATTGAGGAGGAAGAAGAGAAAGAGAAGAGTGTGAAGTATTATTATTATATATTATAATAATCTCAATGAAGACTCAAAGCAGCTATTGAGGAGGAGAGAGAGAAGGACAAGAAGGATTATTATTATTATTATTATTATTTACATCTTCATGGGGACACAAAGTGGCAATTGAAGAGGAGGGTGAGATTATATTATTATTATTATTATTATTATTATTATTTGCATCTTAATGGAGACACAAAGCGGCAATTAAGGAGGAGGGTGAGATTATTATTATTATTTACATCTTAATGGGGACACAAAGTGGCAATTGAAAAGGGGGGTGAGATTATATTATTATTATTATTATTATTATTATTATTATTATTATTATTATTTGCATCTTAATAGAGACACAAAGTGGCAATTGAGGAGGGTGAGATTATTATTATTATTATTATTTATGTCTTAATGGGGAAACAAAGTGGCAATTGAAGATAGATAGGCATAATATTATTATTATTATTATTTACGTATTAATGGGGACACAAAGCAGCAATTAAGGAGGAGGGTGAGATTATTATTATTATTATCTCAATGGAGACTCAAAGTGGCAATTAAGCAGGAGGAGGGTGAGATTATATTATTATTATTATTATTATTATTATTATTATTATTATTTACATCTTAATGGGAACACAAAGCGGCAATTAAGGAGGAGGGTGAGATTATTATTATTATTTATGTCTTAATGGGGGCACAAAGCAGCAATTAAGGAGGAGGGTGAGATTATTATTATTATTATTATTATTATTATTATTATTATCTCAATAGGGACTCAAAGTGGCAATTAAGCAGGAGGAGGGTGAGATTATATTATTATTATTATTATTATTATTATTATTATTATTTACATCTTAATGGAGACACAAAGTGGCAATTGAGAAGGAGGGTGAGATTATATTAATAATAATAATATTACTATTATTATTATTTACATCTCAATGGAAACACACAGTGGCGATTAAGGAGGAAGAGGGTGAGATGATGATTATTATCTCAATGGAGACACAAAGCTGCTGTTGAGAGGAGGAAGAGAAGAACCAAAGGATCATCAATGGAGACACAAAGTGGGGATTGAGGAGGAGGAAGACCACCTCCATCAGCAGTGTCCTCCTTGAGCTGCCCACCTCCCTGAAGCTCTGAGAGGCCTCCTCAATGCCAAGAGGAAGAGGAAGGAGAAGAGGAGGAGGAGGAAGGCCTTCGGCACCCTCACGCCACTCTTGACCTCTGTGGCCTCATTGCCAGGAGGAAGAGGAGGAGGAGGAGGAGGAGGAGGAAGGCCTTTGGCGCCAGCATTCCTAAGGCTCTAAGCCAGGAGGAAGAGGAGGAAGCAGGGCGCTGTCCCCGGAGGGTCCCCAATGGGTGGTGGGGGTCAGAGACCCTCCTCTTTGCCCGCCTCCCCCTCCTCTCCCCCTTCCTCCCCCTCCTCCCTGGGAGCCCCCCTGCTGCTGCGCTGGAGCGAGGTGCCCCCCTCAGTGACGGAGAGCTTCATCCTGAGCGGCTACCGCTGCCCGGGCTACTCCTTGACCCAGTGCCTGGCCTCCGCTTTCCGGCCCACCAATGAGACGGGCAACTTCTGGACCCACTTCCTGGCCGTCTTTGTCTTCGCCTTCCGCTTCGGGGAGCTCTTCTGGGGGGCCGAGGGGCCTGGGGCGAAGGGGGCGTCCGACCCGTTCTACTACCCGCTCTGGAGCTACTTCCTGGGGGTCTGCGGCCTGCTGCTGGCCAGCAGCCTGGCCCACCTGCTCAACTCCATGTCACTGGTCATCCGTGAGGTCTGCTTCTACATTGACTACGGCACCATCAGCGCCTACACGGTGGGCTCCTCCTTGGCCTACTTCTACTACATCTATCCTCGTGGCGGAGAGACGGCAATCTCTGCCAACCTCTCCTTGGCCCTAAGATCGGACGTCGGCGGTCATGCTCTGGGGTCGCGCCCCTGGCTGGAGGCCCTCTACGTGCCCAGCGCCTGCCTCATTGCCCTCTTCTGCACTTTGGCCTGTTGCTGCACCCGCCGGCTCTGGCCGCGCCACCGTTACCTGATCCGCACTTTGGTCTTCCTGCTGCCCTTCCTGGTGGTCTCGCTGCCCGTCTTCCACAAGCTGTGGCATTCGGGGGCCGCGATGGGGCCCACTGGCCACTTCTTCCTGCGCCACTGCGCCTGGCTACTGGCCTCGGGGGTCTTCAACGTCAGCAAGCTGCCCGAGCGCCTCAGCCCCGGCCGGTTTGACATCTGGGGCCACAGCCACCAGTGGTTCCACTGCTGCACCTTCATGAGCATCCTGGACGAGCTGCACATGATCCGGGGGGAGATCCGGGAGGTGGGACGCGGTCATGGCGGGGTGGGGACCCCCACCTTCCTCTCCACGTTTGGGGTGATGCTGCTCCTCCTGGCCCTCCTGGCTGCCCTCGTCACGTGGTTCGGGGTCCGAGAGAGCCACCGGCAGAACGGGGCCACCAGGAAGGAGGCCTAGTTAGAAGACAAGGCTTGACACGGGACCTGAAATATCTGAAAGGATATCACATTGAGAAGCAGGCAAGGGTTGCTTTCCGCTGCTCTGGAGACGGAGACAACGGAGCCACAGATGCAAAGAGACATTGGGAAGAACTTCCTAATGGTGAGAGCTGTTCAACCGTGGGTTACATCGGATGGCATCTCCTTCTCTGAAGATTTTATTTCCCTGCCTGGCAGAAAAAGGGGTTGGACTGGATGGCCTCTAGGGTCTCCTCCCGCCCTACGATCCCTCCAGACTGAGCCACTGGAGGGTCTCGGACTGCAGGCCCCAGCCTCTCAAGACTATAAACCCCTTCCTCTTGCTGGCTGGGGATGATGGAATTGGCAACCAAAGATGGACATGGGACTGTGGGGCTCCCGATACAGGTGAGGCCCACTTCCACCTACTTATGGGGCTGCAAGGCATGCAGGTTTCAAAATCCACACTTGGGACGTGGGGCCAAAGGGGGAATGGGAAATAACTCCCCTTTGGCCCTCCTCCAGGTGTTTTGGACTCCAACTCCCACCATTCCTAACAGCCTCAGGCCCCTTCCTTTTGCCCCTCAGCCGCTTAAGCGGCTGAGGGGCAAAAGGAAAGGGCCTGAGGCTGTTAGGAATGGTGGGAGTTGGAGTCCAAAACACCTGGAGGAGGGCCAAAGTTGGCCCATGCCTGAGTTAAACAATGGAGGGCCAGGAAGTGATGAATCTCCCAGCAAGCCATGCAAATACACTATGTTTGAAAGGCAAAGATTGCAAAGGCTGTGGCTGTTTGTTTATTTTTTCCGAGAGGCAAATTTCAGGAATTTGAATATGGAAAATGGGGGGGGGGGAAGGGGGGGAGGTTTCCATTCTGGGACGATGGGCCTCGTAATCAATCTGTGTTGTATCCAAGGGGGATTTTGACCACCTCCGATTCTCTTTTGGCTGCCTCTCTTTCCTATGTTTGTTGGGAGAATTCGCTCTCCCTCCCTTTTTCCTTCCTTCTCTGGAAGCCCCCTGACCCAATTCCCAGCTCTGCCCATCTATCCGCATGACGCACTGGAGCTGCCTGCAATCTGAAATAGCTCCAAAATAGGCAGGGAGAGGGAGTAAAAATAGGTCGCGTGGAAACACTGCCTCCTCCTTGGAGGTCACTTGGTTGTGGTATGGGGCCCTTCTTCCGGCCAATTTGGGCAGAGGGGCTGCTCCTGGCTCCAATCCCTGACACCCCGGCCTCCTTTTTACTGCCCATTGTGGCCACTGCGAGGGAGAGATTGAGGTCATTGCTGCAGAACGGTGCAGAGGAAAGGGACAGGCACAAATGGGGGTGGGGGTGGGGGCTGGGGGGGTCAATATCCACATTTGTAGTGTCTGTTTGCCCACAATTGCCTTCATACAGCCTTAGCCCCCTTCTCTCTCTCTGTTTGCCTCCCTTGAGAACCTGGTCAGCCTGCCAGGCCGGCTTTGTGGCTGACTGACCAGTCCATCTGCCCGGATGCTCCCCTCTGGCCCGCTCACCTTTGCCCTGGATTCTGCCTCTAACCCGCAGCCCACTGTTTGCCCCCCTCTCAATAATATAGGAACATTACAGTAGACTTCAAACGTGGCTGGCCAGATTGTGCTTCCCTGCTCTCATTGATCGATCGATGGAGCGCCAGGCAGCGTCCTCCCCAGAGGCACAAGGCTTTATCAGCTTCTCTGACCTCCACATCACAGAATCATAGAATCAAAGAGTTGGGCCATCCAGTCCAACCCTGCCAAGAAGCAGGAATATTGCATTCAAATCACCCCTTCCAAAGAAGGAGCCTCCACCACACTCCAGGGCAGAGAGTTCCACTGCTGAACGGCTCTCACAGTCAGGAAGTTCTTCCTCATGTTCAGGTGGAATCTCCTTCCTTATAGTTTGAAGTCAAGAAGCAGGAATATTGCATTCAAATCACCCCTGACAGATGGCCATCCAGCCTGTTTAAAAGCTTCCAAAGAAGGAGCCTCCACCACACTCCGGGGAAGAGAGTTCCACTGCTGAACGGCTCTCACAGTCAGGAAGTTCTTCCTCATGTTCAGGTGGAATCTCCTCTCTTGTAGTTTGAAGCCATTGTTCCATTGTGTCCTAGTCTCCAGGGAAGCAGAAAGGAAGCTTGCTCCCTCCTCCTCCCTGTGGCTTCCTCTCACATATTTATACATGGCTATCATATCTTCTCTTCTTCAGGCTAAACATGCCCAGCTCCTTAAGCCGCTCCTCATAGGGCTTGTTCTCCAGACCCTTGAGTTCTCGCTTAGCTAGCAAGAAAGAAGCCAAGTTGGCGAAAGGTCATCGTCATGCTTTCATGATGGCAAAGGGTATTTAGGCTTCTGGCTGACAAAGAGAAATTGTCAGTTCAACGTGGCTCTTTCCATGAAAGCTTCTCTGGATTAACCTTGGCTATAAGCAGCATGCTTTGAGCTTCCTGAATCTTCTTCATATTCAGATGTTCTTCCTCATATTCAGAAGTTCTTCCTCATGTTCAGGTGGAATCTCCTCTCTTGTAGTTTGAAGCCATTGTTCCATTGCATCCTAGTCTCCAGGGAAGCAGAAAACAAGCTTGCTCCCTCCTCCTCCCTGTGGCTTCCTCTCACATATTTATACATGGCTATCATATCTCCTCTCAGCCTTCTCTTCTGGCAAGTGCTGCATATCAGTGCTCTTGCCATTTCCAGCCATTTCTAGCATCGGATCAGAACCCAGCACTGGGAACATTAGAGCATTAAGTCCCAAATGACCATCAGTAAAAGGTTAATGAATTTAGCCAGAATAAACAAAATGCAAAGATACGGAATGGGGGACGATGAGGCCTGGCTCGAGAGCAGTACGTGTGAAAAAGATCTTGGGGTCCTCGTGGATAACAAGTTAAACATGAGCCAGGAAGGTGATGTGGCGGCAAAAAAAGCCAATGGGATTTTGGCCTGCATCAAGAGGAGCCTAATGTCTAGATCCAGGGAAGTAATGCTCCCCATGCTCTAGTCCGCTTTGGTTAGACCACACCTGGAATATTGTGTCCAATTCCAGGCACCACAATTCAAGAGAGATATTGACAAGCGGGAATGTGTCCAGAGGAAGAGGGCGACTAAAATGATCAAGGGTCAGGAGAACAAGCCCTGTGAGGAGCGGCTTAAGGAGCTGGGCATGTTTAGCCTGAAGAAGAGAAGGCTGAGAGGAGATATGATAGCCATGTATAAATATGTGAGAGGAAGCCACAGGGAGGAGGAGGGAGCAAGCTTGTTTCCTGCTTCCCCGGAGACTAGGACGCAATGGAGCAATGGCTTCAAACTACAAGAAAGGAGATTCCATCTGAACATGAGGAAGAACTTCCTGACTGTGAGAGCCATTCAGCAGTGGAACTTTCTGCCCTGGAGTGTGGTGGAGGCTCCTTCTTTGGAAGCTTTTAAACAGAGGCTGGATGGCCATCTGTCAGGGGTGATTTGAATGCAATATTCCTGCTTCTTGGCAGAATGGGGTTGGACTGGTTGGCCCATGAGGTCTCTTCCAACTCTAGGATTCTATGATTCTATGAATGGTTCTGGATGCCAGATCCGATCCAATTTTAGAGATTGGTTTGGATTGGGGGGCACCAAGGCTCTATTTCAGGGGAAGGAATGGGCAAAACCATCTCTGGCCTAAGGAAATTCTCTCAAACCTATAAGCCCCCAGTGACTTGAAGGCAACACACACACATTAATATCAAACAAGGTGTTTGCAATCTCAAGACAAGGACCCCAGAGTTGCCGTCCAACACTTTTAATTCTTTAAGCCTTGATAGGAGATAGGGGCAGTAAAGCAGAGGGGAGGTGATACATCATTGTTGTTGTTGTTGTTGTTCTGTATCAGGATCAGGAAACGTGGATGGACTGTGGGCCCTGCTCAGGTCAAGGCCAGAAGAAGGCCCATTTGGGATGCACATAGAACAGGCATGGGCCAACTCCAGCCCTCCTTCCAGGTGTTCTGGACTCCAACTCCTAGTGGCTGTGAGGAGGTGAAGTCCAAAATACCTGGAGGGAGGGCCAAAGCTGGCCCGTGGATGACACAGAAGGTCATAGGTTGGTTTCCCAGGAGGACCTCCCTTCCAAGAGTCCCAAAGCCGGTCTGTTTTGCTAGAAGGACCAAAGCTTTGGCCTGGGATGAGGCACAGAGGGACAGGTCTGCAATGGCGCCCCAAGGCATTGCTTTGTTTGCTTTTGCCAAAAAGCCAAACACAGCCAGAAGGAACAGCTGCCATTCATTCCCAGCACAGGCAGTCCCCCAGTTACAAACAAGAGAGGTTCTGTAGATAGATAGATAGATAGATAGATAGATAGATAGATAGATAGATAGATAGATAGATAGATAGATAGATAGATAACTTTAGATGGCACCAGGAAGGATAGACATCCCTGTGGTGTTTCCTTTGTTGTCTGTGCCCCTGTTCAGAAGATTCCACCTCACTTTCTGTCCCTGTGAGAATTGGATTTTGGAAAATTGGGCTTGTTGTGGAGATAAAGCTTCATTGGAGACCCCTTTTCCCCATTATAATAACTACTAGTGTTGCTGTGGCCCATATGGGGGTTCTGTGTGGGAGTTTTGGCCCAATTCTATCGTTCGTGGGGTTCAGAATACTCTGTGATTGTAGGTGAACTATAAATCCCAGCAACTACAACTCCCAAATGTCAAGATTCTATGTTCCCCAAACTCCACCAGTGTTCACATGTGGGCATATTGAGTATCCATGCCAAGTTTGGTCAAGATACATCATTTTTTGAGTCCATAGTGCTCTCTGGATGTAGGTGAACTACAACTCCCAAACTCAAGGCCAGTGCTCAACAAACCCAGTATTTTCTGTTGATCATGGGGGAACTGTGTGCCAAGTTAGGTTCAATTCCATCGTTGGTGGGGTTCAGAATGCTCTTTGATTGTAGGTGAACTATAAATCACAGCAACTCCAACTCTCAAATGACCAAATCAATGTTTTGAGTGAAGGACATACATTGGGTTGTTAGGTATCTTGTGTCCAAATTTGGTGTCAATTTGTCCAGTGGTTTTTGAGTTCTGTTAATCCCACAAACGAACATTACATTTTTATTTATATAGAATTCAAGGAGTAGAATTTCCTTCCTTCCGAGGGGAAGATTCCTCTCACTTCCTGTTGTCTCACCCTGTTCTTAACTGTAGGAGGTTTGTAACTCAAGGACTGCCTGTATATATATTATATACACACACACAGGATATAGTATCACAGATTCTCCTCTCTCTCTAACGCCCCGTGTAGCATATACAGCCTCAAAGGCATCCTAAGGGAAAGGTTTCTCCTCCTTTGATGCCTTCCCTACTCAGACCGACCAGGAGTTGGAGCTCTGAAGTTCAACCATTCTCCTATTGGCATCATCACACACACCCCAACCTCCCAAATTTGCCTGGAGAAGAAGGAGGGTCTTATTGGGGTGCTGCTCATGGGCAGTACAGCAAGACTCAGGAGTGGGGCAGAGGAAGGCACAATAGGAGCCATAGTCCAACTCTGGAGAGGTCTCACCTAGGGAAGGTGTGCAGAGGAAGGACGCCAAAATGGGTAAACTATCAATCCCAATGTGGAGTGTCTTTGGGAACTGGGAAGGTTTACCGTGGAGAAGAAGGCTGAGAGAAGGGGACAGGAAAGCCATGCTTAAATATGAGAAAGGAGGTCCCATTGAGGGGCTGACCGAGCAAGGCTTTGTTTTCCACTGCTCCAAAGACTAGGACACAATGGAGCCATGGCTTCAAATTGCAGAGTTATCCACATATTGTCAAAGGCTTTCATGGCCAGAATCACTGGGTTGTTGTAGGTTTTTCGGGCTATAGGGCCATGTTCTAGAGGCATTCTCTCTTGATGTTTCACCTGCATCTATGGCAAGCATTCTCAGAGGCTGTGAGGTCTGTTGGAACTAGGAAAATGGGGTTTATATATCTGAGGAAGGACCAGGGTGGGGCAAAGGACTCTTGTCTGTTGGAGCTAGGTGTGAATGTTTCAACTGACCACCTTGATTAGCATTTGATGGCCTGGCAGACAAACTATCTACAGACCCACCAAGAAAATCCAACAAATGCTACGTTCAGCAAAGGACAAGAGGGATCCTCTCGCTTCTGCAGGAGTCTACCGTATACCCTGCCGCTGTGGACAAGTCTCCAGAGGGACCACCAAATGCAGGAAGGCTCAAACACATCAAAGAACAAGAAAGGAACTAGGAAAAAAGATTTATATATCTGTGGAATGACCAGGGTGGGACAAAGGACTCTTGTCTGCTGGAGCTAGGTGTGAATGTTTCAACTGACCACCTTGATTACCATTTGATGGCCAACCAGAGAAGTCAGCCCTAGCAGAGCACCTGATGAATCCACCTGGGCACAGCATATTATTTGAGAGTACAGAAATGCTGGACCACTCTCACAACCACCATGTCAGACTACACAGAGAAGCCACTGAAATCCACAAGACGCATGTGGACAATTTCAACAGAAAGGAGGAAACCATGAAAATGAACAAAATCTGGCTACCAGTATTAAAAACTCTAAACAGCAAAACAACAGAGAGGAAACAATCAGGGTCAGCTAATCACCTCTCAACAAAAGATTCCTCCAGGCACTAACAAGCCACACCAAAAAAACTGCCAGGCCATCAAATGCTAATCAAGGTGGCCAATTGAAACATTCACACCTAGCTCCAGCATTCCACAGATATATAAACCTTTTTTCCTAATTCCAACAGACCTCACTACCTCTGAGGATGCTTGCCACAGATGCAGGCAAAACGTCAGGAGAGAACGCCTCTAGAACATGGCCATATAGCCCGAAAAAACCTACAACAACCCAAATTCCACATAAACATTAGGAAGAAATCCCTGATAATAAAAGGTGTTCAGTGGTGGAATATGCTCTTGCCTTGGAGTTGGATTGGATGACCCTTGGGGGTGTCTTCTATTTCTATGACTCTAAGGCACGAATGAGCAAATTTTGGTCCTCTTGAATGTTTTGGACTTCAATTCCCACCATTCCTAACAGCCTCAGGCCCTTTCCGTTTGCCCCTCAGCCGCTTAAGCGGCTGAGGGGCAAAAGGAAGGGGCCTGAGGCTGTTAGGAATGGTGAGAATTGAAGTCCAAAACACCCAGAAGGCCAAAGTTTGCCCATGTCTGCCCTAAGTCATGTCCAATCCATGCCATGAAGGGCAAAAGATGCCTCCCCCCCTGTTATCTTTACCCCCTGGACAGTTAATCATTCACTGACCCCCAGAGGATGCTAACAAAGGCGGGAGAGGGAAGCAGCCGTTGGTTGGAAGCCCCAGGGCCAGTGGTCACCCAATGGGCCCCAATGTTTACCCACCCTTCCTTTGCCATGACCTGGGCGCCCCGTGTCCCTCTGCGACCCCGACGGGGGCCGGCTGGTCACTTACCCTCCTGCAGCAGAGGGAGGCCGTGCGCAGCAGCGGTCTTTGCGTGTGGTTTATTTACTCCCAATTGTTCAGGGCGAAGTCTTCTCTATTGGTTAATCACGATCCATGATGTGTGTGTGTTCAGTATATGCAGGGGAAGTGGCGTGGGTTGTGGGTTGGGGGGAGGAGGAAGGAATCAGGGGCAAAAAGGGGCAAAAGGGGGGTGGGGGTGAGTCCCGCAAGTCTATCTGGAGATCGGGGCTTCCCGGAGCTCCGCCGCCCGCTGGATCATGTCCAGGGCCTCCCAGAAGAAGTCCTTCTGGAAGGTCATGAGGGGCATGCTGCCCACGGCCTCCTTCATCTTGGCCATGCGCCCCTCCAGCGTGGAGCACTTGTGCAGCTGGCTCAGGTACTCCTCGCACGAACGGGCCGCCTGCGCCTCCGTGTCGCTGGGCGGTTGTCCGGCTTTGCTGGCCGGGAGCTCCCGGAAGGCGGGGGCCTCCTCCACGTCGTGGCTGGACAGCATGTAGAGACACTCGCGGGTGGAGCAGATGCGCCGAGCGCAAGGGGGCACCTGCAAGAGGGACAGCGGTCAGGGAACGTCCAGGCAGCCCAAAGGGCCCAAAATGCCTCTGTATTTTATTCAGCCTCTTACTCTCAAGGCATATTTCTATTTTTAAATGTGGAACAGATGCTGCATGGGAACTGGGAACTGGGTCATTCCATGCCAGGTGGTCTGAAATTAAAAAAAAAGAAGTTCCCAGCACCATGTTCTCCAATTTTGTTCAAATTTTAGCTGTAGCATCAGTCAAGTGTTAAACTTAGTGCAATGTGTCTACATAGGGACCACCAAACGCAGCGTTGCCCAGACACGCATCAAGGAACATGAAAGGCACTGCAAACTACTCCAACCAGAGAAATCAGCCATAGCAGAGCACCTGAGGAACCAACCTGGACACAGCATATTATTTGAGAACATAGAAGTGCTGGACCACTCTCACAACCACCATGTCAGACTACACAGAGAAGCCATTGACATCCAATGTGGACAATTTCAACAGAAAGGAAGAAACCATGAAAATGAACAAAATCTGGCTACCAGTATTAAAGGACTCAAAAATCACAACAGCAAAACAACAGAGGGGAAACAAACAGGCACATAAAATCACTCTCAACAAAAGATTCCCCCAGGCACTTCCAGGCCACTGAATGCTAATCAAGGTGATCAGCTGAAACATTCACACCTAGCCCCAGCAGACAAAAGTCCTTTGTCTCACCCTGGTCATTTCACAGACATATAAACCCATTTTTCCTACTTCCAACAGACCTCACTACCTCTGAGGATGCTTGCCATAGATGCAGGCAAAACGTCAGGAGAAAAATTGCCTCCAGAACATGGCCATATAGCCCGGAAAAACCTACAACAACTAAGTGCAATGTGACTATTAGTATTCATTTACTCAGGTTGAAGTATGTTATATTTTGTGCATTTATGCATTATGCTTTACGCAGCCTCATGCTCCTGCCAGTTACTGCATGGCTATCAGGTGTGGCCACTATGGAAATGGGGATGCTGGTTTCATTCTGATATCTATATAAATAAAACGTAATGTTCATTTGTGGGATTAACAGAACTCAAAAAACACTGGGCGAATTGACACCAAATTTGGACACAAGACACCTAACAGTCCAACAAGTGTCCATCACCCCTAAACACACACACACACACACAAACCCAGCGGAACAGACTTAAAACCCCCAAAATACACCATATATACATATACAAATACACTCATACATAAATTCATACACACACATATATATATGCACAAATATACACATATACACACATATATATACATATACACATGCACACATACATATACACATACATACAAACACATATATATGCACACACAAATATGCATATAGACAAGCACACACATATACACAACATGCATCTACACATATAAATACACAAATATACACACACATATATACACCCATATATATATACATGCATGCACGCAAACACACATATACACAAATACATACACACACATAAACACATATATACACACACAAAACACATATACTTAGACTGGGCCACAGCAACGCGTGGCAGGGGACGGCTAGTATAACATAAAAAGGTAGATAAAGGTTTCCCCTTGATATTAAGTCCAGTTGTGTCCAACTCTGGGACTCTGGGACTCATCTCCATTTCTAAGCCAAAGAGCCGGCGTTGTCCATATGAATGGAGTGGCTGTCTACAGATAAACTGGCACGTAACCACAACATTTTGCCAAATGATTGGCTTCAGGACTAGTCTGGAGGCTGGGGAGTTTGCTTAAGGCTGGAACCTCCCCCCATAAGCACTTCACTTCACTTCACTTAGGCGATCCCTCGTTGGACGAGTAAGATGGTCTTCCTTGATGACTATTTTTGTGGGTTTGTAGGTGGCTGTGGAGCCCTCTTCTTGACCCGCATCTTCTCCCACAGTGAAGGCATTGGTTTCCAGGTAGAAGGCGGTCCCGGTCGGGGTTAGCTTGATGTGCCTTCCTCTTGGCACGTTTCTCTCTTTCACCCTCCACTCCTGCCTGCTCGAATTCTGCAACACTGCTGGTCACAGCTGACCTCCAGCTGGAGCGGTCAAGGGCCATAAGCACGCCCTCCCTTTGGGAATGTGTGGGACTGCAAGAGGAGGAGGAGGAGGAGGAAGGGAGCAAGGCCATCTGCTCCGTGGTCACATCTCCCTGCCTGCTGCTGACCTCCAGCCATAGTAGGGTGGGGAGGGGGTGATAGGCACTTGAATGTCAGGATTCCCTGAAGGGAGAGGGACCCTGAGTCCAAGGCAGACCCCTCTCCACCTCGGTGCCACACACACACACCATGCCAGGCCAGGCACGGTAGAAGCCCCCCTCCTCATTGCCCCCTTGGGGCTCACCTTGATCTGCAGCCGGACGAAGGAGGCGCTGCCCTTGGGCCACCCGGGGAGGCGCCCCCCGGCCCCACAGCCGCAGCCCAGGAGGTCCTTGCTGAAGTCTGCGCTTTGGCTCAGCACCAGCGTGTGGTTGAGGCCGCACCACAGGTCCACCGGGCACTTGAGGTAGTGCACCTGGGCACAAGAAAAAGGGGTCGAGGTAGGTGGGTGGGTGACAGCAGGGATCTCCCCAACACACAGTCCCAATACAGTTGTTTCTTCATGAGCACAAGAAACACGGTTCAGAGGGGAATGCCACAAAGGTGGTGGCAAGGAGCCTGGCTAATTGGCCTGGAGGAGGAGGAGGGGGTGGGTGAAAAATATATTTAATATTACTATGTGACAGATTGTGAGGGATCCCAGGAACTACTAGGTGAGCATCTACCCTACCTCTGAGGATGCTTGCCATAGATGCAGGCGAAACGTCAGGAGAAAAATTGCCTCCAGAACATGGCCATACAGCCCGGAAAAACCTACAACAACCCATCTACACAGGCGTTTCTCAACCTGGGGGTCGGGACCCTTGAGCGGATCCCGAGGGGATGTTAGAGGTGTCGCCAAAGACCACAAGAAAACACAGTATTCTGAACCCCACCGACGATGGAATTGAACCAAACTTGGCACACAGTTCTCTCATGACCAACAGAAAATACTGGAAGGGTTTGGTGGCCAGTGTCCTTTGGTTTTGGAGTTGTAGTTCACCTACATCCAGAGAGCACTGCAGACTCAAACAAGGATGGACCTGGACCAAACTTGGCACGAATACTCAATATGCCCAAATGTGAACACTGGTGGAGTTTAGTGGAAATAGAATCTTGACATTGGGAGTTGTAGTTGCTGGGATTTATAGTTCACCTACAATCACAGAGCATTCTGAACCCCACCAACGATAGAATTGGGCCAAACCTCCCACACAAAACCCCCATGTGGGCCACAGCAATGCGTGGCAGGGGACGGCTAGTAAACAATAAAATCAATCAAACATAAAACATAAATCCCCCATATCTAATTTCCAGAATCTTCATCCGATTGCATTGTCCAGCCGTTCCGAGGTCAAGTAATTATTTACTACATTGCATTTGAGAAAGCCTGCTCACAAAGCCAGGTTTTGACCTTTTTTCAGAATGTCAGGAGAGTGGGAACCGATCTAATATCTCTGGGGAGGGCGTTCCATAGCCGAGGGGCCACCACTGAAAAGGCCCTATCTCTCGTCCCCGCCAACCGAACCTGTGAAGAAGGAAGGACTGAGCGCAGGGCCTCTCCAGAAGATCTTAAATTACTGGATGGTTCATAAGGATACGTTCAGACAGATAAGCAGGGCCAGAACTGTTTACTATGCAATCGTAAGAAGTTGTGTGTTGGTGAGAAGGCGAAACACCTTGCCAAACTACAAATCCCAGGATTCCATAGCATTGAGCCAAGATAGTTAAAGTAGTGTCGAACTGTAGATCAGGCATGGGCCAACTTTGGCCCTCCAGGTGTTTTGGACTTCAACTCCCACAATTCCTAACAGCCTACCGGCTGTTAGGAATTGTGGGAGTTGAAGTCCAAAACACCTGGAGGGCCAAAGTTTGCCCATGCCTGCTGTAGATCCATTCTAGGACAAGGCACCAGTACCACCCAGCGCCCTTGGCAGGAACCGGGTGGGAAAGAGGGGTGGGAGGGGAGGTCATCCTCACCTGGGTTGGCTCCCCACGGTCTATCTTGTCCCCGGTGCCCAGCTGGCCATAGCGGTTGTTGCCTTGCATGAAGATCCGGCCAAACTCGTCCACCAGCCCCAGGTGGTTGTAGCCGAGGGCGCAGCGGAGCACCTGGCACAGAGGGAGGGAGGGGGGCAGAAAAATGATGGGGGCTGAGCCGCACTGCGGGCCCAGCTCAGAGGAGCACGAAAAGAGGGCAAAAGGGGAGCAGTGTGGAGGGAAGGGGACAAGAGAAGAGGTTGAGGAGGTCCACAAAGATCTCTCCTGCCACCAGTCCTCTGCTCTGCTCACCTGTTGCCTTGCTCCCTTTACCTGCCCCTGCAGCCCCTTGCCTTACCTTGGCCGGGAGAGAGAGGGCCAGGGGCATCTGCTGATCCAGGGGGTCGAAGGCATGCATTGTCCCAAACAGGTCGCAGTAAACGCTGGGCGAGTGGACCTCAAAGTAGACAGTGCCCTCTTCTGCAAAGGGGGACACGTGAGGGGGGTCAAGCTAAGCTATACACAGGAAACAGGGCCCCTCCCATCCTGCACAATGAATGTCTGGTCCTGCAGATTTCCTCAGGCCTTGGCTGAGATGGTCTTCACCAGCACCTGGGTGCCTGAGGATTTACCTGTCAGGTAGACGGCGCTGCTCTGGTTGGAGTGCATGCTGCGGACGGCGATGTGGGGCAGGCACTTGGAGACCTTGCGCAGGGCCAGCTGCACCGTGTAGGAGCGCGGCTGATCCAGCTGTGTCTCGTTCACCACCAGGCTGTAGATCTTCCCTTCCTCTGCAGACATGCATCAAGAGGAGCCTAGTGTCTAGATCTAGGGAAGTCATGCTCCCCATGCTCTATTCTGCTCTTGGTTAGACCACACCTGGAATATTGTGTCCAATTCTGGGCACCACAATTCAAGAGAGATATTGACAAGCTGGAATGTATCCAGAGGAGGGCGACTAAAATGATCAAGGGTCTGGAGAACAAGCCCTATGAGGAGCGGCTTAAGGAGCTGGGCATGTTTAGCCTGAAGAAGAGAAGGCTGAGAGGAGATATGATAGCCATGTATAAATATGTGAGAGGAAGCCACAGGGAGGAGGGAGCAAGCTTGTTTTCTGCTTCCTTGGAGACTAGGACGCGGAACAATGGCTTCAAACTACAAGAGAGGAGATTCCATCTGAACACGAGGAAGAACCGTTCAGCAGTGGAACTCTCTGCCCCGGAGTGTGGTGGAGGCTCCTTCTTTGGAAGCTTTTAAACAGAGGCTGGATGGCCATCTGTCAGGGGTGATTTGAATGCAATATTCCTGCTTTTTGGCAGAATGGGGTTGGACTGGATGGCCCATGAGGTCTCTTCCAACTCTTTGATTCTATGATTCTATGATTCTAATACAATGTTCTGGTTGCGGATGACACGATAAATAAATAAAAACTCCTCACCAGCTTGGTTGAGCTTTTTATTTACGGATTACCCTTTCTGAGGGTGGGGACGGGGCCGGAATAGACACTACTGTTGTATCAAAAGCCGTACCTTCTTAAGCCTCAACCTGCCGAAGCGAGGGCGTAGGTGGGTCCCTCTCTTTCTCCCCCCCCCCCCAGAGTGAGTGGGCGTCTTGGAGTACCCTTTCGAGAGGAGGCTAAATCCATAGCAACACAGCCGATGCAAAGCACCTTGACACTCAGCCTCCTTCCTGTGTGCCTATAGACTAGAATAACTTTTTTGTCATTATCTATATATATAAATTTCCTCCTGGCGTCGTATGAGGAAACAAAACTCAAAAACCCCCCAACGAAACTCCACCAAACTTCCCATGCCCCAAGGGCAACCAACAAGATACAAACTAATCCACTCAGAAATCAAAAACACACAACAACAACCACAATAAACGGCAAAGCAACTGAGCATGCGCACTGGCGCAAACTCCCTGGCGTGCGCACACACATGGCCCCTCACCCCCCCCCCGCGCGGCACACACACGCACGCGCGCGCATGGCCCCTCCCCCCCCGGCGCGGCACACACACACACACGCGCCCCCTCTCCCCCCGGCGCGGCACACACATGCTGCGGCGCGCGCACGCCCGCTCCCCCCTCCGGCCCACGCCCCTCCTACCCCATAGCATATATCCACCATAACTTCCCCTACCTCACCGTTCACCTCAAGTCACGCCCCCTCTCTAAACAATCCCCCCTTCCCCTCCAATCACCTAAAATTCAAACCCAACCCCCCAATTGCTTTTAAAATAAAGAAAAAAAAAATAAAATACCCATAGCCACGCCCCTTCTAAACCCATCCTCCCGCTCCCCCTTCCTCACCTCCTCACTTATACCTACAAGCCACGCCCCCACTTCTTAAACCCATCCCCCCTACCCAGCACTTTATACCCTCCTCAAGTTACTCCCCCCCAAGCAGGAATTAAGCACCAACTCTCTAAACATACCCCCCATCCCTCTCCTCCCCCTCACGTTCTACCTCCAAGCAACGCACCCCTTCTAAAACCCATCCCCACCTCTCTCCCCTCCTCCCTCCTACCTCCCCTCCACGAATATACACTCAAGCCACGCCCCTTACTAAAAACCCCCCCCATACCCCCCCCTCATCCCTACCTCACGTTACCTCCAAGCAACAGCCCACCTTCTTAAACCAATACCCCCCTCCCTCTAACACCTCCTCACGTTACCCATGCCAAGCCTGACGCTTGCCCCTCTTCTTAAACCCGCATACCTCCCGCCTCCACATTCTTTTTCCTTGTTACCCCTAGCCTTCCCCCCGCGTCCCCCCCCTTTCTCCTCCCCCCACCCCCCCGCCCAAGCCTCACGTTAACCTCCAAGCACGCCACCCTTCTAAACCATCCCCCCCGTCCCTAACCGCTATGTCCCTAAATACCCTCCTCAAGTTACCTCCAAGCCGGCACGCTCCCCTTACTAAACCATCCCCCCTCCCTCTACCTCCCTCCTCACGTCTAACCTCCAAGCCACAGCCCACTTCTAAACCATCCCCTCCCTCCTCCCTCTTACCCTCCTCACGTTAACAAAATAGTTAAAAAAGATCAAGCTCACGCCCCGCCCCCAGGCCCCGCCCCTTCTAAACCCCACCCCCCATCCCCCCCTCCCACCTTACCCCCAAGCCACGCCCCTTCTAAACCCATCCCCCCCCTCCCTCCCCTCCCTCCTTCACCCTCCAAGCCACCCCCCTTCTAAACCCATCCCCCCCCCCTCCTCCCCTCACGTTACCTCCAAGCCGCGCCCCCTTCTAAACCCATCCCCCCTCCCCTCCTCCCTCCTCACGTTACCTCCAAGCCACGCCCCCTTCTAAACCTCCCCCCTCCCCTCCTCACGTTACCCCCAAGCCACGCCCCTTCTAAACCCATCCCCCCTCCCCTCCTCCCTCCTCACGTTACCTCCAAGCCACGCCCCCTTCTAAACCCATCCCCCCTCCCCCCCTCCCTCTACCCTTCAAGCCACGCCCCTTCTAAACCCATCCCCCCTCCCCTCCTCCCTCCTCACGTTACCTCCAAGCCACGCCCCCTTCTAAACCCATCCCCCCTCCCTCTACCCTCCTCACGTTACCTCCAAGCTGTACCCTTGTCGTGATTTCACCTGTCAGGCAGGTCTTGCTTCGGAAGAATCATAGAATCATAGAATCAAAGAGTTGGAAGAGACCTCATGGGCCATCCAGTCCAACCCCCTGCCAAGAAGCAGGAATATTGCATTCAAATCACCCCTGACAGATGGCCATCCAGCCTCTGTTTAAAAACCTCCAAAGAAGGAGCCTCCAGAGAAAGAAGAAAAGAAAAAGGAGGAGGAAGGAAGGAAAGAGGTAGAGAAGGAAGAAAGGAGAGAAAGAAGGAAAAGAAAAAGGGGAGGAAGGTAAGAGGTAGAGAAGGAAAGAAGGAGAGAAGGAAAGAGAGTGAAGGAAGAAGAGAAAGAGGGAGGGAAGGAAAGAAGAAAGAAGGAAGGAAGGAAAGAGGTACAGAAGGAAAGAGGGAGGAAGGAAAGAAAGGGAAGGAAAGAGAGAGAAGCAAAAGAAATGACAGGAAAGAAAAGGAAAGACGGAAGGCAAAGGAGAGCCGTTTTTACAGGCAGCAAGGTAACCAAAGAGACGGAGCGCAAAGCAAAGGAAGGACCAAGAGAGAAGAAGAAAGAGAACAGCAGAAAGAAGAAAACGAGGGGAAGGAGGACAAGCCACGATAGAGAAGGAAAAGAGGCAAGCGAGAGCAAGAAAGACGCGAGAAAGGAAGTCAGGAAGCGGGAAAAACAGGGAAACAGTGAACGAAGAAGAGAGCGAAGGAAGGGGAGATAGGGGGAAGGTTGGCCACAGCAACGCGTGGAGGGTACAGCTAGTGCCTCATATATAATGAAACTAAATGCCACCCCCAGTCCACATTCTATATGTACAAATTACCAAACAGACGACCCATCCTTCCACTTTCTAATTGCTATTGCACAGCCCCTAAAAGCCATTAGAGTTCAATACAGTCACAGCTCTGGGATGAAAGCTCTCTCTCTGACTATTTGTATTTATTTATTTATTTATTTATTTATTTATTTATTTATTTATTTGCCATATTTATATACCGCTTTTCTCACCCCGAGGGGGACTCAAAGGGGTTTACACATAGATAATGGCAAAAATTCAATGCCTTACAATTACAACAGTAAAACCACACTTTAAACATAAATCATATTCAAAACAGTACATCACCAAACATCAAAACAGATATTAAAACTATAAAACAATCTCATCAGTCAAATCACTCTGGACCGTTCTCTGACCTACAAGAAGCAAAAAGTGGGTGCTAGAAACAATATCATATGAGAGCTGACTGGCACAACCTGGGGATCACAACCAGACACAGTGAAGACATCTGCCCTTGCGCTATGCTACTCTGCTGCTGAGTATGCATGCCCAGTGTGGAACACATCTCACCACACTAAAACAGTGGATGTGGCTCTTAATGAGACATGCCGCATTATCACAGGGTGTCTGCGCCCTACACCACTGGAGAAATTACACTGCTTAGCCGGTATTGCACCACCTGATATCCGCCAGGAAGTAGCAGCCAATAGTGAAAGGACCAAGGCAGAGACATCTCCAGCTCATCCCTTGTTTGGGGATCAGCCAGCACGTCAACGACTTAAATCAAGAAATAGTTTTCTAAGATCTACAGAGACACTCGCTGGAACACCTCAGCAAGCGAGAGTCCAAAAGTGGCAGGCTCAAACCCAGAACCTCAACCAATGGCTGATACCAAATGAGAGACTCCCCTGGGCACACAGAGGACTGGGCAACTTGGAAGGCGCTGAACAGACTGCGCTGGCACCACGAGATGCAGAGCCAACCTTCAGAAATGGGGCTACAAAGTGGAATCCACGACATGCGAGTGTGGAGAGGAGCAAACCACTGATCACCTGCTGCAATGCAACCTGAGCCCTGCCACATGCACAATGGAGGACCTTCTTGCAGCAACACCAGAGGCACTCCAAGTGGCCAGATACTGGTCAAAGGACATTTAATCAACTACCAAGTTTGCAAATTTTGTTTTGTGTCTGTTTGTTTATCAACAAATATCAAATATCAAAACAGTTATTAAAACCATAAAACAATCTCATCAGTCGAGTTGCCATTCCAGTCCTTGTCCCACTAAAACCTGCATACATCTATTGTCCGAAGGCCTGGTCCCAGAACCATGATTTTAATTTTTTTCTAAAGGTCAGGAGTGAGGGAGCAGATCTTACCTCCTTTGGGAGTGTGTTCCATAGGCAGGGGGCCACAGCTGAGAAGAACCTGTCTCTCGTCCCCGCCAGGCGTATCTGTGCTGTTGACGGGAGCGAGAGATGGCCTCGAGGTGGGACGTAGGGGCGGATGCGTTCGGACAAGTAAGCTGGGCCCGAACCGTATAGAGCTTTATAGGTCAAAACCAGCACTTTGAATTGGGTTCGGAGATGGACCAGCAGCCAGTAGAGCAGGCATAGCAGGGGAGTGGTATGCTCCCTGTATGCCACCCCAGTTAGTAATCTGGCTGCCACCCGTTGAACTAACTGAAGTTTCTGAACCATCTTCAAAGGCAGCCCCACTCAGAGCGCATTGAAGTAATCTATTTGGGATGTAACCAGAACGTGGACCACCGTGGCCAGGTCAGACTTCCCAAGGTACGGGCGCAGCTGGTGCACAAGTTTTGCAAAAGCTCCCCTGGATACTGCTGAGACCTGGGTGATGAGTCCAGGATCCCTCCTAAGCTGCAAACCTGCGTCTTCAGGGGGAGTGCGACCCCGTCCAGCACAGGCTGTAACCCTATGCCCTGTTCGGCCTTTCGACTGACCAGGAGGACCTCTGTCTTGTCTGGATTCAATTTCAATTTGCTAGCCCTCATCCAGTCTGACACAGCAGCCAAGCTTGTCCTTGTTTTTAACCATCCTATCCTGCCAGGTAGTAATAAATGAAAAAAGAGAATGTCCAGGGTGAAAAGGATCCTTCAGAATATCTGGAGCTTTCTGAAGGCAGAGGGAATGATGCAGGTCTTTGAGAGAAGGGAGAGGGCAACCAATAATTCTTTGGGGAAAGAGGCCAGACAGCGCTCGCTTACCTGTCAGGAGCAAGAGGGTCCTCTGCGTCTCCTGCCCCACCAGCACAATCTGCTTGAACCTCATGGAGAAGTGGAAGGTCATCTTGAAGACCCGCTGCCCGCTGGATTGCAGGTAGACCTCCACGCAGTCACAGAGGCGGCCCCGGGGGGCTGTGCCGGGGCCCTGGCTGCAGCTGGAGGGGGCCGAAGCTGGGGCCGGAGCTGAAGAGGGGGCCGGCTGCTCCCGGGTGGCCAGCACATACAGGTACTTGCGGTAGACCGTGTCGCTCCGAGGGTCTGTGGCAAACTAAGGGCAGAGAGGCAGAAGCATTAGCGGGGCCTCAAAGGGGGACAAACTGGATGGACATAGAAGGTAGGAAAGTAAGCCTGAGGAGGAGTCCAAGCAACAACAACAAAAACAACAACAACAACATTATTATTGTATTGTCGAAGGCTTTCATGGCCGGAATCACTGGGTTGTTGTAGGTTTTTCCGGGCTATATGGCCATGTTCTGGAGGCAATTTTTCTACTGACATTTCGCCTGCATCTATGGCAAGCATCCTCAGAGGTAGTGAGGTCTGTTGGAAGTAGGAAAAATGGGTTTATATATCTGTGGAATGACCAGGGAGACAAAGGACTTTTGTCTGCTGGGGCTAGGTGTGAATGTTTCAGCTGATCACCTTGATTAACATTCAATGGCTTGGAAGTGCCTGGGGGGAATCTTTTGTTGAGAGTGATTTTATGTGCCTGTTTGTTTCCCCTCTGTTGTTTTGCTGTTGTAATTTTTGAGTTTTTTTTAATATTGGTATTTTCTTGGTGGGTCTGTAAGTGGTTTGTATGTTGTATGGGCTCTACAGGCCAATGGATACTCCACCTCAGACATCAGAAGAGCTGCAAAACCGAGAACAAGCCACGAGAGTAAAGATGAAGATCCACCCAGAGGAAAAGTGTTCTTGCCATACATCAAGGGAACCACTGACCACATAGGGAAACTGATGAGGAAACACAACATACAAACCACTTACAGACCCACCAAGAAAATCCAACAAATGCTACGTTCAGCAAAGGACAAGAGGGATCCTCTCACCTCTGCAGGAGTCTACCGTATACCATGCAGCTGTGGACAAGTCTACATAGGGACCACCAAACGCAGCATTGCCCAGACACGCATCAAGGAACATGGAAGGCACTGCAGACTACTCCAACCAGAGAAATCAGCCATAGCAGAGCACCTGAGGAACCAACCTGGACACAGCATATTATTTGAGAACACAGAAGTGCTGGACCACTCTCACAACCACCATGTCAGACTACACAGAGAAGCCATTGAAATCCACAAGCATGTGGACAATTTCAACAGAAAGGAAGAAACCATGAAAATGAACAAAATCTGGCTACCAGTATTAAGAAACTAAAAAATTACAACAGCAAAACAACAGAGGGGAAACAAACAGTCACATAAAATCACTCTCAGCAAAAGATTCCCCCCAGGCACTTCCAAGCCATTGAATGCAAATCAAGGTGATCAGCTGAAACATTCACACCTAGCCCCAGCAGACAAAAGTCCTTTGTCTCACCCTGGTCATTCCACAGACATATAAACCCATTTTTCCTACTTCCAACAGACCTCACTACCTCTGAGGATGCTTGCCATAGATGCAGGCAAAACGTCAGAAGAAAAATTGCCTCCAGAACATGGCCATATAGCCCGGAGAAACCTACAACAACCCAACATTATTACTATTATTATTATAATTATTATTATATTTATTTGTACCCCGCTAACATCTCCCAAAGGACTCGATGCAGCTTACAAAGGTCAAGGCCTTTGTAAAATTCATTTATATACTGCTCTATCTCCCCGAGGGGACTCAGAGCTGTTTCCAAGTAACATAATCAATACATACAAAGAAAACAGCATAAATATAAAATTAACAAGACAATATAAGCATTAAAAACCACAATAGCACATATATTTAAAATAATCCTGCCTGTCCACGGCAATTGAAAAGGCCGGGCCTTTGAAAAGGCGATTTTAGAGCATCCCTTACTCACCAGTCTATAGCAGGCATGGGCCAATTTCAGCCCTTCTCCGGGTGTTTTGGACTTCAATTCCCACAATTAGGAATTGTTAGGAATTGTGGAAGTTGAAGTCGAAAACACCTGGAGGGAGGGCCCAAGTTGGCCCACGCCTCTCTCCTCTTGGAACTGAACACTTCATGCAATCAAGGGATCATCTGCATACCCACATTGTGGGAGTTGGAGTCCAAAACACCTGGAGGGAGGGCCCAAGTTTTCCCATGATAGCATTTGGAGGAACATGGAGCAAGGTCAGATCTGGTGTGTGTTTCTGCCTTCAAATCACCTGTGGACTTATGGTGACCCCATGCATTTTCTAGGGTTTTCTTAAACTGTGTCAACACTGCCATATAATCCAGATTAGCATGCAGTTAAATCTGCATACTGAAACTAGATTGTATGGCAATGTACATCTGGCCTTACACAAGGTCTCCCCAGTGGCCATTTTGCCAATTCCTTCACCTGATATAATTCTGAATTCAGACAGACAGAGCTTTGGAGCACAATACTCCTGACCTCACAATTGTGTTAAAAAACAAAGTATGGATTGTCGATGTTCCAATCCCAGATGACAGCAGGATTGAAGAGAAACAACTGGGAAAGCTGACACGATATGAGGATTTAAAGATTAAACTGCAAAGACTCTGGCACAAGCCAGTCAAGGGGGTCCCAGGGGTGATCGGCACACTGGATGCAGTGCCTCAAGACCTTGGCCTGCACTTAAACACAATCGGCGCTGACAAGATTACCATCTGCCAGCTGCAAAAGGCCACCATACTGGGATCTGCACGCATTATTTGCCGATACATCACACAGTCCTAGACACTTGGGAAGTGTCCGACGTGTGATCCTATACAATACCCAGCAGAGTGATCTTGTCTGCTGTGGACTCATCTTGTTGTATTTCAAATAACAACAACAACAACACACAGTCCTAGACACTTGGGAAGTGTTCGACTTGTGATTTTTTGATACGAAATCCAGCATATAGATCTCGTTTGCTGTGACATACTGTGCTTTTGTGTCAGTAAAATAATAATAATAATAATGGGTTGTAGGTTTTTCCGGGCTATATGGCCATGTTCTGGAGGCAATTTTTCTCCTGACATTTCGCCTGCATCTATGGCAAGCATCCTCAGAGGTAGTGAAATCTGTTGGAAGTAGGAAAAATGGGTTTATATATCTGTGGAATGACCAGGGTGAGACAAAGGACTTTTGTCTGCTGGAGCTAGGTGTGAATGTTTCAGCTGATCACCTTGATTAGCATTCAATGGCTTGGAAGTGCCTGGGGGGGAATCTTTTGTTGAGAGTGATTTTATGTGCCTGTTTGTTTCCCCTCTGTTGTTTTGCTGTTGTAATTTTTGAGTTTTTTAATACTGGTAGCCAGATTTTGAATGCAAATCAAGGTGAATGCAAATCAAGCTGAAACATTCACAGCTAGCCCCAACAGACAGGGGTCCTTTGTCTCACCCTGGTCATTCCACAGATATATAAACCCATTTTTCCTACTTCCAACAGACCTCACTACCTCTGAGGATGCTTGCCATAGATGCAGGCGAAATGTCAGGAGAAAAATTGCCTCCAGAACATGGCCTTATAGCCCGGAAAAACCTACAACAACCCAGTGATTCCGGCCATGAAAGCCTTTGACAATACAATAATTATTATTATTATTATTATTGCCGCCTCTCCTTGTGGCTTGAAGGGGATGACAATACAGTCAAAACACATAAATATTGTAAAAATTCTATAAACATGCACATCAAAATGTAGTTCTGTAAAAATATATATTAAATACACTGGACAGAGATTAAAACGCAGGACACAAGTTTCAAGTTCATGCTCAAATCTGGCTGGGTAGAGCCATAGAGAGCCTCCAACCCCTGGGATTCACTGGTTATCTCCCATCCAAGTCCTAAACAGGGCTGATCCTGCTTAGGTTCACAAATCAGAGGGAATCGGGGCTCCTTCTGGACATTTAGGCTAATGTGTTTTTGTCTTCAGGTGAGAGCAGGTTTAGCAGGAGCGTGGACCCTGTCTCCCTCGCTCAAGACTGCCCTCTGCATGCCAGAGACATGAATTAGGATGGAATGAGTGGCCAACCTACAACGATGTCTTCGATGTCCTGAAGACGGACAAAAGAGAAATCAAAATGAAAACACAGGAAGAGCTAAACATGAAATTTCCCAACATATCCTGGTTCCATTATCGCCAGATCAATGAACACTTTAAAAAGGATGTAAAAATAGGCTTTGAAGAAAAAACATCAACCTGGCAGAAAATCTTTGAAAGTAAGAGAAAAATAATAACAAGAATATACCAACAGTTATTGACATGGAGCACAGAGAGAGAACAAATAAAAAACTGCATGATCAAATGGGCCAGAGATTTAAAAAGAACTATCCACTTGGAAGAATGGGAGACGCTATGGTCTAAAAAACTCAGTTATATGTATGCATTCGACTTCAAAGAAAATATAATAAAGATGTTCCATCAATGGCATATGACCCCAGAGAAAATAGCGAAATTTAATAAAAATCTTATCGACAAATGCTGGAAGTGTGGAAAGTGCAGAGGGACCTTCATCCACATGTGGTGGAACTGTGAAACAGCCAAGACATTTTGGAAAGAAATCCTTAACAGTTGCCATAACGCAGGATTGTGTAAGGGCATAAATATATACATACACGCATGAAATTTATACGGAACATGGACAGTCCCACCACTGAGGGAGATCCGAAGAACTACTTAAACTCAACAAACAAGAGACATTAGCAGAAAATACCACTATGAAGAGAAAAGGAAGAAGACACCCCCTACCTTTCTTTCCTCCCCTCCCCTCTCCCTCCCTTCCCCCCTCCTTTTTTTTTTTCTCCCCCCCCCCCCCCGTCTCTCTTTCCCTTCCCCCGTACTCCCTATTTCCACCCTCCCCCATTTTAATATTGTAAAAATTCACTAATAAAAAGTATTTTTTTAAAAAGACTGCCCTCTGCCTCAAAACCGAGCTCAGGGTGGCCTCTGTCCTCCCCTCCTTTCCATCCCTGACATCCCAGGACATGCTGTCCCTCTGGCCCCCCTGCGTGATCCGTCACCTACGTCTTTGGCGCTGCGGCAGAGCACCATGTAGCGGCAGGCCCGGCGCCACTGGACGTGCCCTATGTTGGAGGAGACCAGGGCGTTCTTGAGGAAGAAGAGGGTGCCGTTGTAGTCCAGGATGAAGACGTGGTCCTTGGTGGGCAGGAACTTCTGGTAGCCGTGGGAGAGCAGCGGGGCCACCGTCTTGCTAACGAAGTGCCGCCGGCCGCTGAACATCTGGAAGTACAAGCCCTTGGTGTCTGTGGGACAGACAGAGAGGCCCAAGGGCAGGGAGGGAGGTTGGGGTCTGTCCAGAGGGCCGAGGCTCAGACACACACCCTCCCCTTTCCTGAGATGGGGGCCAGGGGGATTCCTAGATTCCTCATCGTTAGTCACTAGAGCTGATGGGAGTTGGGGTACAGCAGGCATGGGCCAACTTCAGCCCTCCTCCAGGTGTTTTGGACTTCAACTCCCACAATTGCTAACAGCCTACCGGCTGTTAGGAATTGTGGGAGTTGAAGTCCAAAACACCTGGAGGAGGACTCAAGCCTGTCCATATCTGGGATACAGCAACATCTGCAGTTTGTTCTGATTCGTAGTCAGGATCATGGGTTTTGGATGGAGATACAAGGCTTGTGGATGCCCTTGAACCTTTTCCCAACCTCAGAGCTGCAAAGGCCGTCGAGTTGCAATTCCCATTATTCCCAGTCTGCATGGCAGATTGGCCAAAGTGACCAGAATGGTCATCCACTAATATCTGGGGACCCAAATTGGGTTAAAAAAAAGCAAAAAGAACACTGATCACCATGTAAATAAATGATCATAGACCCTATGAGTCCACAGAGTCTCTGTCCATGGCTTCAATGGCCCTTTTAATGCAGCCATAATAAGACCAAAGTGGACCATGATGAAAAGTGAGTTTAACAGTCCTGTTCGACAACATACTCGCATTTACTCAAGTCTAATGCGCCGCCAAATCTAATGTGCATCTCAATTTTCAAAACCCTGAAACCAAAAGCAGTATTTGCTGCAATGTGCAGTGGCAAAAAGTGCACTCTTTGTAATTTGGCCCAAAAAAGTGCATATTACAGTTGTTGCCTGCTTAGGATTCCTTCTTTAAAAACAAAATTGTTAGAACAACAAAGCTTCCAGCAATGGAAAGAAAAACCTTGGGATGCAATCTACGCTGTAGAATGAATTCCCTTTAATTAAATTGGATCAATGCTATGGAGCCCCCCTGCCTGTAATTTCACAAGGTCTTGAGCAGCGTTTCTCAACCTGGGGGTCGGGACCCCTGAGGGGGTCGTGAGGGGGTGTCAAAGGGGTATTTTCTGTTGGTCATGGGGATACCATGTGGGAAGTTTGGCCCAATTCTATCCTTGGTGGGGTTCAGAATGCTCTTTGATTGTAGGTGAACCATAAATCCCAACAACTACAACTCCCAAATGTCAAGGTCTATTTTCCCCAGACTCCACCAGTGTTCACATTTGGGCATGCTGAGTATTTGTGCCAAGTTTGGTCCAGATCCATCATTACATGAATCCACAGCACTCCTCTGGATATAGGTGAACTACAACTCCCAAACTCAAGGTCAATGCCCACCAAATCCTTCCAGTGTTTTCTGTTGGTCATGGGAGTTCGGTGTGCCAAGTTCGGTTTAAATCCATCGCTGGTGGAGTTTAGAATGCTCTTTTATTATGGGGAACTATAAATCCCAGCAACTACAACTCCCAAATTGCAAAATCAATCCTCCCCGCAACCCCACAAGCATTCACATTTGGGCATATTGGGTATTTGTGCTCAATTCAGAGCAGTGAATGAAAATACATCCTGCATATCGGATATTTACATTACGAAATATCAACGAAACCATAATATGGTTGGGGGTCACAATATATGGAACTGCATTAAGGGGTCACAGCATTAGCAAGGTTGAGAACCACTGGTCTTGAGCTTTCCCTGCTAAAGAATGCTGGTGCCTCACCAAACTACAAATCCCAAAATCCCATAGTATTGAGCCATAGCCATTCAATTAGAGTTGATGTCCCTCAAATGGAATCTCCAGGGGCTCCTGAAGCAGCTTCCCCTTTTGTTTTAGCACAACACTAAGATGACTGTATGACACAAATCTAATGCGCCCCCTAATTTTGGTGAGGTCATTGAGCCCAAAAAGATGAGCATTAGAATCAATAGGGTAACATTCCTGGGCTCTGAAAGATGGCCATATTTCGCCTTCCTCTTGCTCCAGCCCCATCGCGTCTCTTGCACAGCCAGACCCTCCAAAGGTGTAAACTCACAAGCACAAACTATTTCCTTGTGCAAATCCTCCCCAATATCCCTCTGGTCACCTGCCCTATTTGTTATCCCCCGCTGTATACTGACAGTTGAGGATGGCCGCTCTCTTCCAGGGCCGCCGGCCCCCCGAGGCCTCTTCCCGCAGCCGGGGCGAAAGGCGGAGGCAGAGGCGCTGCCAGACCCCCTCGCTGTCGCAGACTTCGCGGAAGTACCGGCAGGTCTGGCCCAGGGCCACCACGTCCCTCACCGGCAGAAAGGAGGTGATGTAGTACAGCTGGAGAAGCGGGAGAGAGGGGCGAGCGGTCAGGGGCCTAGCCAGGGTGGGTGCAAGGGAGGCTTTGGCCCCAGAGGACATCACACCGCTCCCAACAGGTCACCCACCAGCTCTGGAGGGAAGATCTGGATCGAGGTAGAGCTTCCTCGGGCCTTCTGGTCTTCGGGGGTCTCCACAGAGGAACTCCGCCGCTTCTTCTTGGGTTGCTGAAGGCAAAGGAACAAGAGGTGGGTGGCAAAACACAGTTTCAAAGAGGGATTGACTCCAAGCTGGAAGGTGTCCAGAGGAAGAGGCAACTAAAAAGGTCAAAGAGACCATGAATCCCTATGAGGTGCATCTTAAAGAGCTAGGTCTGTTTAGCCTCCAGAAGAGAAGCTTGAGAGGAGACATGAGAGTCACTATAAATATGTGAAAGGATGTCATAAAGAAGAGGGAGCAGGATTTTCTGCTTCCCCGGAAACCAGGACTCAATAGAGACATGGGTTCAAATTGCAGGAAATGACATTCCACCTGAACATTAGGAAGAACTTTCTGACTGTAAGGAGAGCTGTTCAGCAGTGGAACTCTCCACATCAGAACCTGGTGAAAGCTCCTTCCTTGGAGGCTTTTAAACAGGCTCGATGGCTATCTATTGGGAGTGCTTTCATTGTGCTTTTCCTGCAGGACAAAGAGCGATGTCTTGAGATGCTCAAGAGAAGCTTGTCTCATTAGTAGAAAGGTTCGGTTAGCTCTTAATAAAATAGCCATCGCTTCAGCACCTTGAGATATGTCTCTTCCTTATTTTGTGGAACTTCTGTCTATACTGACTTTGTTAAAGGCTAAGGAAACTTGTCAAGAAAATGTTGTGACCTCCCTTCGGATCTAGGCAATGCTGATGCCAATGGCCCCCAGCTCCTGCACAGAACCACCATCTCCATGGTTCTTTAAGGGAAGACATAATGAATTCAAGGGAAGGCTTCCAGAATCCTTTTTATTTGGTCTGCAGGAGCATTGGAATGCAGGGTTGCCGGCATGCCTTCCCTTGGATGCCCGGCAGGAGGCAACAGGGCCCTTCTTTCCACCAAGGCATTATTGGCCGGAGTCCTTCCTTGCCCTTGGGGAACAGGTTCTCGCCTTGCTTTGTGTAGATGTCTGATGTTGTTTTGTCAATTGTGACAGTTGTTTGCACAGTTAAAACAACATGGGGTGGATTCATTCTTGGCAATGGCTTTGATGCGGTGACACATCGACCTAAAATTAAAAGGCCTAAGGCGCAGTCGGAGCTCGGCTTCCCAAATTGCGTTTTGACCTGATTATTTCCTCCCAATATAAGGTGAATCGAAATCTTGAATCTCAATCCAGGCTTGGGCCAACTTAGGCCCTCCAGGTGTTTTGGATTTCAACTCCCACAATTCCTAACAGCCGGTAGGCTGTTAGGAATTGTGGGAGCTGAAGTCCAAAACACCTGGAGGGCCTAAGTTGGCCCAAGCCTGCTCTGAGTACTAATAAAAGTATTGGAACAGTGGAACTCTCTGCCTTGGAATGTGATGGAAGCTCCTTCCTTGGAGGCTGGATGGCCATCTGTCAAGGGTGCTTTGATTGTGCTTTTTCTGCATGGTGGAATGGGGTTAGATTAGATGCCCTACAAGAGAGGAGATTCCATCTGAATATGAGGAAGAACTTCCTGACTGTGAGAGCCATTCAGCAGTGGAACTCTCTGCCACGGAGTGTGGTGGAAGCTCCTTCCTTGGAGGCTGGATGGCCATCTGCCAAGGGTGCTTTGATTGTGCTTTTTCTGCATGGTGGAATAGGACGCGGAACAATGGCTTCAACTACAAGAAAGGAGATTCCATCTGAACATGAGGAAGAACTTCCTGACTGTGAGAGCTGTTCAGCAGTGGAACTCTCTGCCCCGGAGTGTGGTGGAGGCTCCTTCTTTGGAGGCTTTTAAACAGAGGCTGGATGGCCATCTGTCAGGGGTGATTTGAATGCAATATTACTGCTTCTTGGCAGAATGGGGTTGGACTGGATGGCCCATGAGGTCTCTTCCAACTCTTTGATTCTATGATTCTATGATTCTACGATTCTGTTGTGCACACGACGAGAGTGGCTTGGCCATTTGTCTTAGGTCACTTTGCAGCAGGAGGAAAGGCATCCTGGTTCGGACTGCATGCTGTCCCAGTGAGAACGCTCCGGCTCCGGCCTCTTCCTCCCTCCTCTGCTGGTCCTGCCTGCACCCCTTCCCATCGAGATCCCCACCAAGCCCTCTTCCTCCCCGAGGGTCCCATGCTCACTCCGAGGGGCTCCTCGCCTGTGCCACCGCCGCTAGAGACGTGGGAGAAGCGCTGGGGCTTCCTCCTCCTGAGCTTCCGGGCCACGAGCCTCTCGCTCATCCTGCCTGCCCTTCCAGCCGGCTCTCAGACCCACCCTGGCTGCTGGGACCAGCATGGCCAAGGCCCTTGAATAGCTCTGCCCACCAAGCTAATCGCCCGGGGGCAGCACGGGGCACTCACTATGTGATAATGGCCGCCCCGATGGCTTCACAGAGGAGGAGGGGTTCCCCAGGTAACCGGGGGCACTGTGACATCAGCGCCTGCCTGGGACCACCTTTGTGACCTGGGCGCTTGGGACACTCAGGTCCAAGGGTCTGCACAGGGAACACCAAGGGGCTGCTCAAGGTCTGTGTGGTGTGGCCAGTCTTGCAAAATCTCTAATGGAGAGGCCAAGAGGAGAGAGACTGGGGCCCTGTCTACCCTGTTATATAAAATCCAAATTATCTGCTTTGACCTGGAATATAGGGGAGTGTAGATCCAGCCTGGGGCTCTCTCTCCTAGGACTTAGAAATTCTTGGTTGCCATCATGATCTGCAAGACTTCTGTGATCTGCAAGAATGCAATTGGCAGGCGGTCGGACTGAATGGCCCATGAGGTTTCTTCCAGCTCAAGGATTCTATGATTCTGCTTGGCATTGCAGGTGGCCTCAGACCCAGGAAGGCTATGGCTTCATTTACACCACGATATGGTATGGTTTAGGATTACATGATATGGTCAGAGGACTCATATAATGCAGTTCAATCCAGTTCGGATGCATTATATTAATCTACCCAGGCATGGGCCTGTTTCAGCCCTTCCTCCAGGTGTTTTGTACTTCAACTCCCACCATTCCTAACAGCCAGGCATGTAGCCATGGGAGGGGCTTGAGGAGCTTCAGCCCCCTCCCCCTGAAATTCTCAGGGTGGTCCGCGAGTAGGCTTTACTGGTACATTATCGTGATCCGATCACTATACTCAATATATTCCATATCCATAGGGATATTGGGATAATGATACAAAAGGTCTGCTAGGGTAGATCCTCACCCACCTACCCTGAATCAAACTCAGCACCCCCCCCCCCCCCCCCCCCCCCCCCCCCCCAAATCAAAATCCTGGCTACAGGCCTGCTAACAGCCAGTATGAATGGTGGGTGTTGAAGTCCAAACACCTGGAGAAAGGGCCAAAGTTGGCCCATGAATGCATCTTCAAACTGTATTGCATGGCAGTGTAGATGGGGCTGAGAGAGAGAAGGTGGGTTCATCCATATTGCTATTGTCTCCTTGCAGCAACCTGTGTTTGTGCCTCTGCGCCTTCAAATTGCCTCTTGACTTATTGCAACCCTTGGAAAAATCTTAGGCAACCAACATTCAAGAGTTTTCTTGCTCTTTCCTCTGAGACACAGCCTGCGGCTCCTGGTAATTTCTGAGCAGCCTCCCCTCCAAATACTAACTAGTAGGCCTGGTCAATCCATGGTTCTAAATGGTTCTAAAGTACTTACAAAACTAAAGTTCTGGTGATGAAAATTTCAGAACTCTAACAAAACTCTCAAAATTTCATTATTAATGGCAGTTCCTAATTGGTTCTATCATAAAAATCACCAATAATGAAATAATGATTAAATTTTGAAAGTGTTGTTAGAGTTCCGAAATTTTCACCACCAGAACTTTAGTTTTGTAAGTACTTTAGAACTATTTAGAACCAGGCCTACTAACTAGTCCTGACCCTGCTTAGCCTTGAAGATCAGCATTTTGTGCTGCCTTAGAAATTGTGAAGAGGACCTGGGGTAGAGTCAGGGAAGCCAAGGTAAAACAAGGTGAGATCATTGCCTTCTGGGTTCATGCGGGACTAGAGGAGCTTTGCCGCTTTTGTTGGGAGCGGGGTTCTGATCCTACTTATGTCGAGGATTAAAGGGAAGCTTATTAGGGTTAGGAAGGACAGGGTATCCGGCGGAGGCTTTTGTGGACCTCAGAGAAGGGCTCATGATGGCAAAGTATAACAAAACATTACCCAAGAATATAAGAAATCCTTGGCAAGGAAGGCTAGAGACTATCTTTAAAAATATTTAAAAGCTCTGGGCCTGTGGCCAGGCTTAGAGCTTTCATCTCTCCAGGAACCGTTCCCTCACTTTGCGTCTCAATTGAGAGATAAAAGCTGGATATAAATAAATATAAATAATTGTGATCATCGTCATCACCTTCATATTCTGCCTCTTTGTCGGATTGGATTCCCTTCCAGAGAACGCAGGGATTCTAGATCCTGCCCCAGTTCTAACCCAGGTGTGTCCTCCATTCCCATTCCAGAGAATGCAAGTATCATGGTTTGGTCCATTTGTTTTTTGGTGTTAGACCAGGCATGGGCAAACTTGGGCCCTCCAGGTGTTTTGGACTTCAACTCCCAGAATACCTAACCGCTTACTGGCAGGAGTCTACCATATAGCATGCAGCTGTGGACAAGTCTCCATAGGGACCACCAAATGCAGCAGCATTGCCCAAACACGAATCAAGGAACATGAAAGGCACTGCAGACTAAGTCCACCAGAGAAGTCAGCCATAGCAGAGCACCTGAGGAACCAACATTGATACAGAACACAGAAATGCTGGACCACTCTCACAACCACCATGTCAGGCTCCACAGAGAAGTCACTGAAATCCATAAGCATGTGAACAATTTCAACAGAAAGGAGGAAACCATGAAAATGAACACAATCTGGCTCCTTTTACCTGCTGGTTCCCTGCTGTGATTCAGAGCGGTCCAACATGGATGGCCATTGTACTCCTTGCATCTGAGAACAGGGCTTCCATTGACCAGAAGGCCACCGCAAACAGAAGAAAAGATACCGCTTAGTGCACACCTCACTTTGAAAAATGCCACATAAAGCTCCTGCATCTGCTAGAGCTTTCCAAACTCTTGTGTTACAACACATTTTGTGCATTGGCTGCTGTATGAATGGCGGGGGGGGGGGGGTCTACACTACTAAATAATGCAGGTTTCTACCAGTTCAGTAGCTGTCCAATCTTTCTATTGTGTCTGAATTATATGCTGAATTATATGCTGCTTAGCGTAGACCAATTTAATGCAGTTTGAACTGCATCATATGAGCCAGTTCAAACTACATCGTTTAGAAGTTTGGATCCAGCCTAAGCGTGCCGTGCAAAGTATTATTATTATTATTAGTAGTAGTAGTAGTCGTATTATATTTATTGATACCCTGCGTTATCTCTCCCAAAGGAGACCCAAAGTGGCTTGACATAAAAAACATTAGCATACAATTTAAAATACACAAATAAGCAAACATTAAAACAGAATTGATCTACATTGCATTACTTGGCAGTTTAGATCCAGCATAAGCGTGCCATGCAAATGTAACCAAAGGTGACAAAAATCTGGGGAACGTACATTATTATCTTACAAATCATATATACCGTATATTCTGGCATATAAGCACCGAGATTGTGGTGCAGCTGGCTGAGTGTCAGCTGCATTAAGATCACTCTGACCAAAAGGTCATGAGTTCGAAGCCAGCCCGGGTTGGAGTGGGTTTCCAACCAATTGTGTAGCCTGTTGTCGACCTTTGCAACCCGAAAGACAGTTGCATCTGTCAAGTAGGAAAATTAGGTACCACCTTAAAGTGTGGGGAGGCTAAATTAACTAATTTATGAGGCCATAAAAAAAAGACTCCAGCAAAGCCCTTCAGCAAAAAGCATGCGGGGAATGCGGAAGTACTTCATCAGTGTTGCAGATGGACGATGAAAGCGACAGCTCCCCTGGAGGCCAGAAAAACTTAAAATAGCCTCCGTGTATGTCTGTATACATTGTATGTCAAATTGGCATTGAATGTTTGCCATATATGTGGACACTGTAATCCACCCTGAGTCCCCTGCGGGGCGAGAAGGGCGGAATATAAATACTGCAAATAAATAAATAAATAAGACGACTGGGCGTATAATACGACCCCCAACTTTTCCAGTTAAAATGTAGAATTTGGGATATACTTGCCATATAAGACTACCCCTCTACCAACGCACACCAAATAAAAATTTAAAAAGCATCAGATTTGATTTCAATATGGTCATTTTCCTATTACTGTCCCTCCTCCTCTGCCTCTCAGATCTCGCACCTGCACCGCTTCACTGAAGTCTTCAGGAGCGAGATTTGAGAAGCAGAGGAGGAGGTATGGTAATAGGATACAAGGGAGGGCCAGACAGGTAAAAGAGCCGTGCTTTTCTGGGTCCAGAGCCACTCTCTCTCTTTTTTTCCATATCCCAGGTGCCCCAGACGCCTGCAGCTTGCTCCGCCCTTCAAATACACCTTCCCGGTGAGCCCCCCCCCCCTTCACCTCACCATCGGGACCGCATTAAGTCCACGAATCCTGATGAATGGATTTTCTTCTACTGTACTTGTACAGCGTTGCCCTTAATGCTTTCATACAGTCGCTGCATATGGCAGGGATGTGGCCACTGCCATTTTTGAGCTCCCCCCACCATATGCAGCAACCACAGATTCTCCAATCTGGATTGGAAGTTTCAGCACCCGCTCTGTAAGACAACTCCCGGCATATAAGACTGCTTCCACGTATTAGACGGCTCCCACATATAAGACGACTTCCACGTATAAGACAACCCCTGACTTTTGAGAAGATTTTCTTGAGTTAGAAAGTAGTCTTATACGCCAGAAAATAGCCATCCCCTGCCACGCGTTGCTGTGGCCCACTTTGGTGGTAATGGGGGTTCTGTGTGGGAGGTTTGGGCCAATTCTATCGTTGGTGGGGTTCAGAATGCTCTGTGATTGTAGGTGAACTATAAATCCCAGGAACTGCACCTCCCAAATGTCAAGATTCTATTTTCCCCAAACTCCACCAGTGTTCACATTTGGGCATATTGAGTATCCGTGTAGTTTGGTCCAGATCCATCACTGTTTGTGTCCACAGTGTTCTCTGGATGTAGGTGAACTATAACTCCCAAACTCAACATCAATGCCCACCAAACCCTTCTAGTGTTTTCTGTTGGTCATGGGGGTCCTGTGTGCCAGGTTTGATTCAATTCCATCATTGGTTGAGTTCAGAATGCTCTTTGATTGTAGGTGAACTATAAATCCCAGCAACTACAA